CATATTAAATTTATAAAATGTTTTTCACACAGATAGAGCTTTCTTTTAGTGGCATTTGATCACCGCTGGGTTTTTAATTTTTTATTATATAAACTAAAAAAAAGACTTAAAAGTTTTGGGGAAAAAAAACAATATTTTTTACTTTGTTATAAAACATCTAATACAATCAAAATTCTTCATAAATTTTGGCTAAAAGGTATTCCGATAATTATGATTAAAAAGAAGAAAAAAAATCCCAATAAGTGAATATTAATTGGTTTACAGGAAAGTTATAGCGTCTACAAATGGTGGTATATATACTGGAGTTCTTATTGTTTTATAATGCTAGTAATGGCGGCGATCAGCGACTTATAGTGAGACTGTTGCGGGCATTCTGACACTGGGGGGGGGGGGAACTGACTAACTGCCACTGACATCTCCAGTGACGCCAATGCAGTGATCTCTCTTAATTTATTTATTTTTTAAATTTTATTTCAGGTACTTATATAGCGCCGTCAATTTACGCAGCACTTTACATATATATTGTACATTCACATCAGTGCTAATAAAAATCACTGACACTGTACTTATGACACTGGGCAGGAAGGGGTTAACGTCTGGGGCGATCAAAGGGTTAACGTCTGGGGCGATCAAAGGGTTAACGTCTGGGGCGATCAAAGGGTTAACTGTGTGTTAGGAGGTGATGTTATTGTGTACTACATTGTGTTTTACTTAGGAGGCCTGCTGCTTTCTATCTCAATGTTGTGCAGAGAGATAGAAAGCAGCACATCCATGCTGGCAGGAGAGAGATCTATGTTCACACTCGCAGATCTCTCCCCTCTCAGCTTCTCCAATGATCACGGAGTCCCGGTGATTGACATCCTCAGGTTCCAATAGCAGCTTGGGCAGGGTGGCATGCGCGCCCCCTACCTGGAGATGCAAAATCACATATATTTGCATGATTTTGCACAGTGAAACCGCCCACAAGTGGTTAAAACCGGGCAAGTGGTTAAAATAGCTCAAACTTTGATCATTAAAAAAAACCCTTCCCAAGCTGAAATCAGTGACTTTGCCTAGGGCTGGGATGATGTCATCAGTCTGCTGCAGGCAGCAAGAAGCATTTTCCTCAGTCCCCAGTGATCAGACTGCTGAGGGGTGGAGGACACTGAATGGATGCTGTTGCAGATCTGTATCAGACGTGTGTGAGCATAGCCAAGATATGTCGAATCGCCAGGATTTACACATATTCGTCTGAAAAAAGAAACGAATGCAGCAGCTCCATCTAATCACGGGTAACCAGCAATATACATTTTATAGAATATTGGTAGAAGTCTTGTATATCCTCTTTAGGACATTGTTTTGCTTATTATTTAGTTTCTCAGCAACCTACCTTGGCTTGTAGCTGACCCGTCGGGGAAAGGGGAATTTCCGATTTTCTTCACTTGCGGAATAATCCTTTTATAATATATAATGCTGCCAGTCTGGAGGGGAGGAAGTATAAATATCCTCTTTTCTTTTGATGCTTATCATGATTTGGTTTGTTAAGTAATTGGATTGTTTTTTGTTATGTTTATATACAAATTACTCATCCAGTCCGAAATGTCATGAGATAAAGATAAGGTGTTCACTTACATTTATCTGATCTCATTAAAGACGTCTGAATGATACAAGATGAGAGCAAATAAAATCCCATAAAAGTCCAATAAGTATCCATTATAAGTCAGAGAAATGAGGTCAATGCGTTTCGGGGGCCAAAAATCCCCCTTCATCAGGGCTGAGATTCTGTTTTGTATATAGAGGGAATACAGGACAATATTATTATTATACAGGATTTATATGGCGCCAACAGTTTGCGCAGCGCTTTATAAAATGAAGGCAGACATTACAGTTACAATACAATTTGGTACAAGAGGAATCGGAGGGCCCGGCTCGTTAGAGCTTACAATCTAGGAGGAAGGGTTGAGTGATACAAAAGGTAATAGCTGTGGGGGGGATGAGATGATGGAGGAAATAAATGGCGGTTTACTAGGTAGAAGCAGGATAGACTTCTTTAAAGAGAAATGGTTTTTAGGGATCTTCTAAAGGTGGATAGATTAGGAGATAGTCGAACAGATTGAGGTAGGGAGGTCCATAGGATGGGAGAAGCTCGGGAGAAGTCCTGGAGGCGAGCATGGGAGGAGGTGACACAAGAACTAGAGAGAGGAAGGTCTTGGGAGGATCGAAGAGAGCGGTTTGGTTGATATTTTGAGCCTAGGTTGGTGATGTAGCTGGGGGCAGAGTTGTGGTTGGCTTTGTAAGTTGTTGTTAGCATTTTAAATTTTATTCGTTGGGTGAGTGGAAGTCAGTGGAGGGATTGGCAGAGAGGGGTGGAGGGCACTGAATGCAAGCCAGTGGAGGGATTGGCAGAGAGGGGTGGAGGACACTGAATGGAGGTCAGTGGAGGGATTGGCAGAGAGGGGTGGAGGACACTGAATGAAAGTCAGTGGAGGGATTGGCAGAGAGGGGTGGAGGACACTGAATGGAGGTCAGTGGAGGGATTGGCAGAGAGGGGTGGCAGACACTGAATGGAAGCAAGTGGAGGGATTGGCAGAGAGGAGTGGAGGACACTGAATGGAAGCCAGTGGAGGGATTGACAGAGAGGAGTGGAGGGACACTGAATGGAGGTCAGTGGAGGGATTGGCAGAGAGGGGTGGAGGACACTGAGTGGAGGTCAGTGGAGGGATTGGCAGAGAGGGGTAGCAGACACTAAATGGAGGTCAGTGGGGTGGGGGGACTGACTAACTGCCACTGACATCTCCAGTGATGCCAATGCAGTGATCACTCCTAATTTATTTATTTTTACATTTTATTTCAGGTACTTATATAGCGCCGTCAATTTACGCAGCACTTTACATATATATTGTACATTCATATCAGTGCTAATAAAAATCACTGACACTGTACTTATGACACTGGGCAGGAAGGGGTTAACGTCTGGGGCGATCAAAGGGTTAACGTCTGGGGCGATCAAAGGGTTAACTGTGTGTTAGGAGGTGATGTTATTGTGTACTACATTGTGTTTTACTTAGGAGGCCTGCTGCTTTCTATCTCTATGCTGTGCAGAGAGATAGAAAGCAGCACATCCATGCTGGCAGGAGAGAGATCTATGTTGTTCACACTCACAGATCTCTCCCCTCTCAGCTTCTCCAATGATCACGGAGTCCCGGTGATTGACATCCTCATGTACCAATAGCAGCTTGGGCAGGGTGGCATGCGCGCCCCCTACCTGGAGATTCAAAATCACATATATTTGCATGATTTTGCACAGTGAAACCGCCCACAAGTGGTTAAAACCGGGCAAGTGGTTAAAATAGCTCAAACTTTGATCATTAAAAAAACCCTTCCCAAGCTGAAATCAGTGACTTTGCCTAGGGCTGGGATGATGTCATCAGTCTGCTGCAGGCAGCAAGAAGCATTTTCCTCAGTCCCCAGTGATCAGACTGCTGAGGGGTGGAGGACACTGAATGGATGCTGTTGCAGATCTGTATCAGACGTGTGTGAGCATAGCCAAGATATGTCGAATCGCCAGGATTTACACATATTCGTCTGAAAATAGAAACAAATGCAGCAGCTCCATCTAATCACGGGTAACCAGCAATATTACCTCCTTTTCCTTGGGTTTAGATACATTTTACAGAAGATTGGTAGAAGTCTTGTATATCCTCTTATAGGACATTGTTTTGCTTATTATTTAGTTTCTCAGCAACCTACCTTGGCTTGTAGCTGACCCGTCGGGGAAGGGAATTTCCGATTTTCTTCACTTGCGGAATAATCCTTTTATAATATATAATGCTGCCAGTCTGGAGGGGAGGAAGTATAAATATCCTCTTTTCTTTTGATGCTTATCATGATTTGGTTTGTTAAGTAATTGGATTGTTTTTTGTTATGTTTATATACAGATTACTCATCCAGTCCGAAATGTCATGAGATAAAGATAAGGTGTTCACTTACATTTATCTGATCTCATTAAAGACGTCTGAATGATACAAGATGAGAGCAAATAAAATCCCATAAAAGTCCAATAAGTCTCAATTATAAGTCAGAGAAATGAGGTCAATGCGTTTCGGGGACCAAAAAAATCCCCCTTCATCAGGGCTGAGATTCTGTTTGTATATAGAGGGAATACAGGACAATATTATTATTATACAGGATTTATATGGCGCCAACAGTTTGCGCAGCGCTTTACAAAATGAAGGCAGACATTACAGTTACAATACAATTTGGTACAAGAGGAATCGGAGGGGCCCGGCTCGTTAGAGCTTACAATCTAGGAGGAAGGGTTGAGTGATACAAAAGGTAATAGCTGTGGGGGGGATGAGATGATGGAGGAAATAAATGGCGGTTTACTAGGTAGAAGCAGGATAGACGACTTTAAAGAGAAAAGGTTTTTAGGGATCTTCTAAAGGTGGATAGATTAGGAGATAGTCGGACAGAGTGCGGTAGGGAGGTCCATAGGATGGGAGAAATCCTGGAGGCGAGCATGGGAGGAGGTGACACGGGAACTAGAGAGAGAAGGTCTTGGGAGGATTGAAGAGAGCGGTTTGGTTGATATTTTGAGCCTAGGTTGGTGATGTAGCTGGGGGCAGAGTTGTGGATGGATTTGTAAGTTGTTGTTAGTATTTTAAATTTTATTCATTGGGTGAGTGGAAGTCAGTGGAGGGATTGGCAGAGAGGGGTGGAGGACACTGAATGCAAGCCAGTGGAGGGATTGGCAGAGAGGGATGGAGGACACTGAATGGAAGCCAGTGGAGGGATTGGCAGAGAGGGATGGAGGACACTGAATGGAAGCCAGTGGAGGGATTGGCATAGAGGAGTGGAGGACACTGAATGCAAGCCAGTGGAGGGATTGGCAGAGAGGGGTAGCAGACACTGAGTAGAGGTCAGTGGAGGGATTGGCAGAGAGAGGTGGAGGACACTGAATGGAAGCCAGTGGAGGGATTGGCAGAGAGGGGTGGAGGACACTGAATGGAGGCCAGTGGAGGGATTGGCAGAGAGGGGTGGAGCACACTGAATGGAAGCCAGTGGAGGGATTGGCAGAGAGGGGTGGAGGACACTGAATGGAGGCCATTGGAGGGATTGGCAGAGAGGGGTGGAGGACACTGAATGGAGGCCAGTGGAGGGATTGGCAGTGGGGGGTGGAGGACACTGAATGGAGGGATTGGCAGAGAGGGGTGGAGGACACTGAATGGAGGCCAGTGGAGGGATTGGCAGTGGGGGGTAGCAGACACTGAACGGTTGGTATGGTGGATGAGCCTGGCAACAGTATTCATGATGGACTGGAGGGGGGGTGGCCTATGTAAAGGTAAGCCAATGAGGAGGGAGTTGCAGTAGTCGAGGCGAGAGATGACCAGGGAGTGATTTAGAAGCTTTGTGGTATCATTGGTTTGGAAGGGGCGTATAATAGAGACGTTGCGGAGGTTGAGGCGACATGATTTGGACAGGGGTTGGATGTGGGCCTGAAAGGACAGTTCAGAATCCAGGGTTACCCCCCGCACCCTGGCATGCAGGGATGGGTTGATAGTGGTGCTATTGATCCTGACCGAGAAATCAGGGGAAGAGGCATGTGGGGAGGAAATATTCTGAGCTCGGTTTTGGATAGATTGAGTTGTAGGAAGCGGAGTGACAACCAGTCTGATATGTCTGTTAGGAAATCGGTGATACATGTGGACACTGATGGGGTGAGCTGAGGAGTAGAGAGATAGATTTGTGTGTCATCGGCATAGAAATGGTATTGGAAACCATGGGAAGCTATCAGCTGACCCAAGGATGAACTCCTGCCTGCCCACCCGCTGTAGGCAAAGTGACATACCTGTAAGTTGCTGCATACTTCCAGGTTTAGGGTACGTGCTTGCCCCCCCCCCCGGCCAGCACCTGCTCTGACTGTACACCGTAGGAGCCTGACAGCAAGTCCCTGCCAATGATTCGTGGCCAGGACCTGCTGATCGGCTGTGTCCAATCACAGCCCAGAGCCCACACAGGGCTCTGTACAGAAGGAATGATCCCTCTGTTTCTCATCCCTGCAAAGCACTTGCCAAACAAGTTGATTCAGAGGCGCTGGTGGGGGACCCCAGAAGAAGAGGATTGGGGCTGCTCTGTGCAAAACCACTACACAGAGCAGGTAAGTATAACCTGTTAATTATTTAAAAAAAAAAAAAAAAAAAAAACGTAAAAGTTTAAAATTACTTTAAAGTGGCTCCCTCACATATACCCAGAGAAGTGACTGGCCTCTGAAACAAATCATCCTATGTAAGTTGTACCTGTTTATCTATAGCTTTCCTCCCCCTAAATCCATTCAAAGTGCCAAATTTATACAGGATCTCTCAGCTCTGAAAAGCAAGGGGCATGGAGCTTAAGTTACATCCGTAAGGAGGTCTCTGAGAGCTGTTTGGAGGGTAGGGACACCCCCCTTCTTACAGCACACAGAGAGCTGAGGCTGTCAACCGCAGGCTGTGTGCTGGAGGTCCCTTCCCTCTCTCCATTTTTCTCTTGGTGTCAGGAAAACTTGTCAGAAGTGACTTATGTAGATAGCAGACGAAGGAGACAGCTGACAAAAATGACACTCTGGATTGAGACAAGTACACACAATAGAGGGATATGCTTTGTTCATATTTCATGTCTGAGGGTTACGACCATTTTAACTGCAGCAAAGAAAAATCGTTGGCTTTGCTCTCCTGAAGGGCTGTGCAAATCTCAGGACTTTGTTGACAGATAATCCATTGGCAGGTAAAGCAGCTCCTGTATATGTATTTCATCTGCATCTTTATGTGTTAAGTTTACAAAAATATCAGCAGTGCCAGGTTGTATGTTTTCATTGTCACGGGTCCTCTTCCATAATGCTTTGTTGGGCAATCTAATTGTAAAGTGAAAATATCAGTTTTGGGAGGAGATAACCTTTAAACAGAAAAGAGTTTTCATATGGTAATGTTCTTTCTTTTCAGAGAAGGAAGACGGGGATTGCAGTCCAAAACAAGCATCGGATTCCGATCACATGGACCGAAACCCATCTCCTCCCACCAGCGAGGATGAAGAGGAACCGTCGGGAGATTGTATCGGGAACACCGTGTACAGCAAGCATTGGTTCTTCAGCACTCTGACCAAACTGATAGATGTATGTGTGTGACTGAGATCTTCTCAGATTATTCCCGTTCCTCTGTTTTTAGATCACTTTCTTTTTGAAATCCCCTTGCACACTGGGCGCTTAGCCTTGGTGGATGGGGCTCTGGGGTTTAGATGTGGGATGAGGTTGGAGGTGCTTCCCTGCTGATGGCAACCTGTCAAACTCTATAACTGGCTTGACAACTGCTGTGGCTGGGTGGTGCATCTAGTGGTATAAATGTTTAGGACCGTATGCGCCCACAGAGAGATGACCAGAATGCAAATAGTCCGCTTTTGTCTCTGGGCGCATGGTGCGCTAAACATTTGTACCTCTTAGGGGAACTGTCCTGCCGCAGCAGATGTCAGCGTCTTGATTTTGATGAGCTGGATGGGGCACCTGTGCATGGAGCCTTAGCATTATAATTACAGCCCACGTACAGGTCAACTGTTTTTTTTTTGTTTTTTTTATAGAAATTTCTCCCCCAGCAATATCAACAAAGAAAGCAGCTCCATCAACCATACTCACCTTCATTCCACTAATTCCCTTGCAGTGCTTCTTTCCAACCACAAGATGTCCTCAGTCTTCTGGGTAGATTGAGGATATACTGTGAGTGCAGGGCTTCATGGGCGTGCCTCCTGAGGGGTGTCCTCGTGGTGTCCGAAATTCATTGTATTGATGCAGAATGTGGCACTGACATCACTGCATCAGTACCGATCTCTGCATTACATAGGACTGCTCAATGTTGGCGAAAAATGGCAGAGGAAGATGGCCCTCGTCACTTGCGTGTGTGTGTGTATGTATGTATGTATGTTTATATATATATATATATATATATATATATATATATATATATATATATATATATATAAAGAAACTATCCATGTGCGGAAAAAGAGTACATATGCCTGAACACCCCACTGCTGCTGTGTTAGCACATGTAGCAAAACCAATAGCTTAACAAAAGGAACAGCGCTGTGAGGTGTACCTTTTATTGTAATACCAGTTGGTAAGAATCACAAGGAATGCCTGGGCCAGCATGGACGGCCCGTCCGCTCCAATATGGATGGTATGAGGCAAGGGGTTCTCCTGTCACTGGTGTGGACCACGTGACCGCGGCGTCCCAGAATGATGTCCCCACGGTCTATGGAGGAAGCGGGAGGGAGAATCCAACGCTGGAACGCAAGCCAAAATGGAGGCCGGTAACCTGGACAACGCATTTCGCGCGCATGAGCCTTGTTAAGGGACTTCCGAGATGCCGCGGTAACATGGTCCACACCAGTGACAGGAGAGCCCCTTGTCTCATACCATCCATATCGGAGCGGACGGGCCGTCCATCCTGGCCCAGGCGTTCCTTGTGATTCTTACCAACTAGTATTACAATAAAGGTACACCTCCCAGCGAGGTTCAACTGTAGCCACTGTCGCAGCGTTTGTTCCTTTTGTTAAGCCATTTATTATTTTTGTCTGCAGGGGCCTGGAAAGCATTGCACCAGAGGTCAGTAGATTGCTGATGCCATGCAGGTTTCATTCAGACCTGTCAGAATATCTGCTTGCCGTACGGGATGTACAGGGTGTACGGGATGTACAGGGTGTACGGGATGTACAGGGTGTACGGGATGTACAGGGTGTACGGGATGTACAGGGTGTACGGGATGTACAGGGTGTACGGGATGTACGGTCAAGTAGATATTCTGACAGTAAGAATGAAGGAGCTACCACATCGCTTAAAGCGCCGTGGTAGTTCATTGAGGGCTACAAGCCGACAGCCGCTAACGCTGTCAGGACTAGTAGTTCCTCATTCCAGTTGACTATGAGTAAGTGACATGGCTGTGTGGGCGGAGCCCACATGGCCAATTTTTTTTTTTAATTTTGCTGCTTGCGAGTGGGGAGAAGATGAAGATCCCCCGCTAGCTAGGGCCGGTCTGAACGTAACATGTTACACACCCTGAATATGGATGTACACCCTGAATATGGATGTAACATGTTACACACCCTGAATATGGATGTACACCCTAAATATGGATGTAACATGTTACACACCCTGAATATGGATGTACACCCTAAATATGGATGTAACATGTTACACACCCTGAATATGGATGTACACCCTAAATATGGATGTAACATGTTACACACCCTGAATATGGATGTACACCCTAAATATGGATGTAACATGTTACACACCCTGAATATGGATGTACACCCTGAATATGGATGTAACATGTTACACACCCTGAATATGGATGTACACCCTGAATATGGATGTAACATGTTACACACCCTGAATATGGATGTACACCCTGAATATGGATGTAACATGTTACACACCCTGAATATGGATGTAACATGTTACACACCCTGAATATGGATGTACACCCCGAATATGGATGTAACATGTTACACACCCTGAATATGGACGTACACCCCGAATATGGATGTAACATGTTACACACCCTGAATATGGATGTACACCCTAAATATGGATGTAACATGTTACACACCCTGAATATGGATGTACACCCTGAATATGGATGTAACATGTTACACACCCTGAATATGGATGTACACCCTGAATATGGATGTAACATGTTACACACCCTGAATATGGATGTACCACCCTGAATATGGATGTAACATGTTACACACCCTGAATATGGATGTAACATGTTACACACCCTGAATATGGATGTAACATGTTACACACCCTGAATATGGATGTACACCCCGAATATGGATGTAACATGTTACACACCCTGAATATGGATGTACACCCCGAATATGGATGTAACATGTTACACACCCTGAATATGGATGTACACCCCGAATATGGATGTAACATGTTACACACCCTGAATATGGATGTACACCCCGAATATGGATGTAACATGTTACACACCCTGAATATGGATGTTATATGTTACACACCCTGAATATGGATGTACACCCTGAATATGGATGTAACATGTTACACACCCTGAATATGGATGTAACATGTTACACACCCTGAATATGGATGTAACATGTTACACACCCTGAATATGGATGTAACATGTTACGAAAGGTGAACTTATCCTTTAAAGCAGTTCTTGCCCATTACATGATATTAATAATGACTTTTGGAGGTGTGGAGTTTAGGATAGTCAGGGGCAGACAATGAATAGCGGGGAGGGAGTTAGAGCTGCTCAACGGCTATACTGGATCCTCTGTCAGTGTGAGGCCAAAATGTTCATGTTTGTTTGATCGGAGTTTATCTTTTTATATTCTACCCAGACTGTTACTGTGGATAAAGATAAACCGGAGCAAGCGGAAGATGAGGCCAGTGTGGATCTGGAGGAAGACATGGAGAACGACATCTGTAAAATCTGGGACATGTCTATGAATGAGGTAATGTATCTCACATTATTATTATTATACAGTATTTATAAAGCGCCAACAGTTCGCTCAGCGCTGTACAGTACAAAGGGGGACAGAACATGTGACAGAACGATACCAATACAATGCAAAACATGAGGGGATCGAGGGCCCTGCTCTTTCGAGCTTACAATCTAGGAGGGAGGGGACAGGGGCACAGGAGGAGATAGCTGTGGGGGATGGAGTGGTAGGAAGAGTGGATGAGGTCAGGAAGTTAGCAGGGGGTGGGGTAGGCTTCCCTGAAGAGATGGGTTTTCAGGGTGCGCCTAAAGAAGAGGAGAGTAGGTGATAATCTGATGGGTTGGCGCAGGGAGTTCCAGAGGATGGGTGACACCCTGGAGAAGTCCTGGAGGCGGGCATGGGAGGAGGAGACCAGGGAACTAGAGAGAAGGAGGTCTTGTGAGGAGCGGAGTGTGCGTGTTGGGCGGTACTTGGATATTAGGTCAGTGATGTAGTTCGGGACAGTATGGTGGACAGCTTTGTACGTCAGTGTTAGGATTTTGAATTTGATCCGTTGCACAATCGGAAGCCAGTGGAGGGATTGGCAGAGGATTGGCATTATTTCTATATAATATTAATAATGGAAGAGACCCCAGTGTAAGATCAGGGGTGCGGGTTTTACTGATAAATGTGTAAAAACATTTACTAATGCCCGTCTATATTTACTAATGGATTATAAGAAATTTTCTATCTCTGTCTCTATCCATATGGTGTTTCTTTTTCCCTTTTTTCTCTCTCTCTGACACCCCTGGTGTGTTCCTTGGACTTCATGATGCTGTTTGTTCACTAATGTTCTCTAACAAACCTCTGAAGGCTTCACAGAACCACTGTATTTATAATAGAGGAGGACTCTACTAATTAGGTGACTTCTGAAGACAATTGGTTACACTAGATTTTAGTTAGGGGTAAAGGGGGCTGAATATAAATGCATGCTACACTTTTCAGGTGTTTTCTTTGCAAAAATGTTGAAAACCATTCCTCATTTTCCTTCAATTTCACAATTATGTGTCACTTTGTGTTGGTCTATCACATAAAATCCCAATAAGTACATTGATGTTTTTTGGTTGTAACATGACAACATGGGGAAAATTTCAAGGGGTACGAATACTTTTTCAAGGCACTATTTCTCTCCTGCTCTCTCTGCCTATCTCTCTATATCTACAGTTGCAAGAAAAAGTATGTGAACCCCTTGGGATTACGTGGAGTTTTGCATGAATTGGGCATAAAATGTGCGGAGGGAGCATCATGGTTTGGGGCTGCTTTGCTGCCTCAGGGCCTGGACGGATTGTTGTCATTGATGGGAAATTAATTCCAGAGTTTATCAAGACATTTTGCAGGAAAACGTACGACCATCTGTCCGCCAACTGAAGCTCCGCAGAGGATGGGTGATGCAACAGGACAATGACCCAAAGCATACAAGTAATTCAACAAAACAATGGCTGCAACAGCACAGAATACACCTTCTGGAGGGGCCCAGTCAGAGTCCTGACCTCAACCCGATTGAAATGCTGTGGCATGACCTTAAGAGAGAGATTCACACCAGACATCCCAAGAATATTGCTACACTGAAACAGTTTTGTGAAGAGGAGTGGTCCAAAATGACTCCAGATCATTGTGCAGGTCTGATCTGCAACTACAGGAATTGTTTGGTTGAGGTTATTGCTGCCAAAGGAGGGTCAACCAGTTATTAAGTCCAAAGGTTCACATACTTTTTCCTCCCTGCACTGTGAATGTTTACCTGTTATGTGCAATTAAACCATGGCGACATCTAATGTTTGTGTAGTATTATGTTCAGCAGACTGTGTTCTTCTATTGTTGTGACTTAGATGACATTCAGAGCACATTTTTATGCCCAATTCATGCAAAACTCCACGTAATCCCAAGGGGTTCACATACTTTTTCTTGCAACTGTATTTTCCCTCTCACTATAATCTTCTCTAGTTTATATCTAATCTTCTCTCTATCCATCTATCTACCACGCTCTCTAATATTTATCTTATTCTCTAATCTCTCTCTGTTACATTCTTCTCTCTATCTTGTGTACTCTATTTTTACATTCTATATATCTTTTCATTCTTCTATTTATCTACTGTGTAAAATAAATATATATTTAATTTATATTTTTTATTTTTTTTTATTATATATATATATATATTTTTTTTTTCTCTTGTTATCTAATCTCTGTTTGTCTGTCTTGCAAATAGCTGCCTGTAGATATGAAGGTCAAGCAGCACAATGGCTAAGTGGTTAGCACTTATGCCTGGCAGTACTCGGGTCGCTGGTTTAAATCCCAACCACTGCACCACCTGCCTGGAGTTTGCATGTTCTCCCTGTGCCTGCGTGGGTTTCCTCCGGGTATTCTAGTTTCCTCCCACACTCCAAAGACACACTGGTAGGTTAATTGGCTCTTGTCTAAATTGTCCCTATGAATGTGAGTTAGGGACCTTAGATTGTACGCTCCTTGAGGGTTAGGGACTGATGTGAATGTACAGTATAGAAAACACTGCCCCCAAATGCTGTTGTCACTAGAACAGGAAATCTTCCAATGGGGGACACTAATCTGGTGACTCCTCACTTTGGAGGGATTTTCTGACACTTCCTGTTTGGCTATGGGACAGGAAGTGAAAGGAATTCTCCACAATGGGACACAGATGGCAAAAAAAAAAAGAATTGGATGCATTTATACCCCTCCCTTACTTTATGCAAAGTGAAAAAAATCCAGTTTTGCCTTTCATTCTACTTGTACAGCCTCTCTAATAGGGCCTCCCTGCTACTCCAGGCCCCAAGTCCCTAGTATGTGTATGTAGGAATGTGAGTTAGGGCCCTTAGATTGTACGCCCCTTGAGGGTTAGGGACTGATGTGAATGTACAAATATATATGTAAAGTGCGTGGAGTACATTGATGGCGCTATATAAGTACCTGAAATAAAATAAACAGCAACTTTAAGCCCGGGTTCACACTGATGCGGTGCGGAATTCGCATCGTTTTCTGTGCAAATTCTGCAGCGCATCAGAATCGCACCCTGTTCATAATAATAATAATAATAAATAAATTAGGTTGGTTTACCTAAATAATATCTGTTTTTTTTAGAGTTTTTTTTTAATGTATTGTAATGTAATTTAATCTTACACACAGAAATTGCGCTGGCGGATCTTAGCAGAAGCAGATGACAAAGAATTTTTTAGATTTAATTACGTTTCTATTTTTTATATTTTATTTTTGTTTACTGGAGTTCCACTTTACACATTCTATTTTTTTTCTCATCCTCATAAATGGACGTTCATACAGATTTTTCCGGTTCTTAGTTTTGTACATAATGGTGAAGACTACATTTTATTTACTAAAGCTGGAGAGTCCAAAATCAGACTCCCTTCTGCATAGAAACAATCAGCTTCCAGGTTTCATTTCCAAAGCTTCATTGAACAGCTGATTTTAGAAGCTGATTGGTTTCTATGCAGAAGGGTAGTCTGATTTTGGACTCTCCAGCTTTAGTAAATAAAACCCCCATGTGTCCCATCTTCTATATTTAGTTGCTTCTTTTTCCTTTTTGCTTGAGTCTTTTTTAGATTCTCCGTTGGGTTTATCTTTCCTGCTTTGCATAGCATGTTTTTTAGTTTTGTTTTTAACATCCTGGCTGGTTTTTTTAATCTTTTTTACCCCTCTACTCCCTTTTTTTTATTGCAGATAATTTTTTTCTTTTTTTTTTTCATTTTTAAAGGTTTTTAATTTTTTGTTAGTTTCAGATTTTTCATATTGGGAGTTTTTCTTTTTTCTTTATTTTTCTTTATCTTTTTTTTTTTCAGATTAACTTTTTTTTTTTTTTTTTTTTTGAATGTTGGTTTTATTTAATTTTGGTTTTATTGTTTTTTTTTAAAGTACTTAATCCTCGTTTATTTTTGTATTTTTTTTCCGGAATTTTTTTGCTAAAATGCGTTGTTTTTTTTTTTTTTATATGTATTTTTTTTTTTATTCTTTTAGGCTGTTATTTTTTTTCTAACTCATTTTTGAAATCTTCCGAACAAGAGTCTAGTTTTTTTTTTTGGGTATTTTAAAACTTGAAAACACGAAATCATAAAATTATAATTAATATTTAATCATAAAAATTTATTTTAATTATATTTATTTTACATTTAATTCAATAATTAATCAAACCACTAAAAACACTTTTAATGTGATTATTTTTTTTTTAGTTCGCACATCGTCTGAGTTTTTTTCGCAGATAATTTGTTTCGTTTTGATGATTTTCCCCCACGATTTTTTCACTCAATTTGCAAGTTTTTTGATTTTACTATCGCTGTTTTTATTTTTTTCTATTTTTTTTCGCTTTTTTTTATTTTTTTGTTGTTTTTTTGACGCATTTTTGTTTCTCAGTTTCCAGCAGAAAATTATTTTTTTTTTTTTTTTTTTTTTTTTTACTCGGGAGACAAATTTTGTGAATTTTTTTTTGAAACAGCAATGGACAGCAAAAATTGAAATTTTTTTTTTAATTTTTTTAATTTTCCCGCCGGTTTATTTTGTTGTTTTTTCACGACGTTTTAAGGGAAACCGGATCACAGAAGCCAGATTACCTTCTTTCGGGCCGGAGGAGTTCTTTATTTGCAGGGGACACATCTTTTAGGGAGCGAAGGACTTTTTTTTTTATCCTTTTGCTGCAGGATACCCAGAGCAACGCCATCATGGTATTTTTTATTTCGGGGTTTTTTTGGTCTTTTTTTCTTTTTTACCCCGTTTTTCTTTTTTTCGCCTAAGGAGACGTTCTTTTGTCTATTTTTTCAGGGGTTATTTTTTGCTTGTGTTATCCCCCATAATTTACAGAGACTTTGTATATATGATCGCACAAATTTCCCCTTTTTTCATTACATCTCCTATTTGCTTTTGTTTTTTCACCTTCTTTGTGCATTTGGGGGCAGTGCTTTTTTACTGTACATTCCACATCAGTTTTTATTCTTTATTTGCTTTTTTGTTTTTTTTT